ACTTGATACTTGTTCAAATATGTTAACATGAAACCTTTCATGCAATATATTAACTTCACTCTTGTAAGTCTGCTCTAGAATCAATATTAAGCAGACGTTGCAGCTGTGGTCATTCAGTTTATGTTAGAATTTGCTTTTTCTTATGGCATGGTGATAGGATACTTGTTCAAATATGTTAACATGAAACCTTTCATGCAATATATTAACTTCACTGTTGTAAGTCTGCTCTAGAATCAATATTAAGCACACGTTGCAGCTGTGGTCATTCAGTTTATGTTAGAATTTGCTTTTACTTGATACTTGTTCAAATATGTTAACATGAAACCTTTCATGCAATATATTAACTTCACTCTTGTAAGTCTCCTCTAGAATCAATATTAAGCAGACGTTGCAGCTGTGGTCATTCAGTTTATGTTAGAATTTGCTTTTACTTGATACTTGTTCAAATATGTTAACATGAGACTTTTCGTGTAATATATTAACTTCACTCTTGTAAGTCTGCTCTAGAATCAATATTAAGCAGAAGTTGTAGTGACTGTGGCAGTTATCTTTGTTAGAATTTGCCTTGACTATGGCATGGTGACAGGATACTTGTTCAGATATGCTACAAGAAACTTCTTAGTTCACTCTATCTATTAACTTCACTATTCTGAACTGTCCCATAATCAATATGGATTTGATCAAGTAGATGAGCAGAACATTGCAGTGAGTGTTGCAGTTATCATGCTCATGTCGTCTAAATGTGATATTTCCTTTTGTGCAGGGTGCTAAAGCGATTTATAGAAGAGAGAACAGTCTTCGTGTGGAGAATGGCACCGGAGCCGTGCCATGAGTAGTAGTAGCCTTGTATCATATTTCCCACGTTGATGTTGATGGTGAAGGACACTCATGTTAGAAAGATAAATTATGGAGTATATTCATCTTGACTCCTTCCATGTACCGGGAGGAGGTTTGATGGGTGTTACCAAGTCATTCTTACTCAAGTTAATCATATTTTTTGTAAAAGGATTTGTGTGATCTATGGGTAATGTACCATGAGTTTATCTCTTCTCAGCATTTCTTTTTTATTCCCTTGTTGAATGTTTCAAGAATATAGAGATATAATTACTCAGTTTCTATATCAAAATTCTGTCATCAACAGTTTAGTACAGTTTCAGAATATTTTAGGCTAATTATTTGTAGTTAGTTACCTCTAATGCGTTGATACTTATACTTTCAAAAGTTGTATTGGCATTCTTATAGTTGCGAAAGTAAAAAATTACATTCTTATAGTTAGTTACCTCTAATGACATCAATTTTATTAATGAAAATATAAAAATAAAAAGTAAAAATATAATTTTAATGTTTGGTGGTGGATGACGGTACAGTTGGCATCGATGTCGACGTAGTTCTCTGGCTGCCTTAGTTTTCGAGCTACAACTGCATCAGCATCGATGCAGAGTGACACGAGGCAGGTAACAATGAGGTTGGTGTCACGCTCCTCGTGGAGGCAGGTGGCGTCACGATGAGAGTGAAACACTTATTATCATCTGAGATGACCATGCAACTACACCGATGTTGACACCTGCAACGCTACTACCGACACCGTCCACCATCGAATGTTAAAATTATCTTTTTACTCTTTGTCTTTATGCTTCCGTCTAGGGTAAACAAACTTAAATATTTTATTTTCGTAACTATATAAATGTCAATGTAACTTTTTAAAATATAAAGACCTTTAAAATATAAAGGTAACTAATTACATCAAGTAATATTTGATTAACCTGAATATTTTCCAATTATTTTCTCCTGCATGCCATTATTGTTTTTGTTTAGTCGTCAAGTAAATAAGAATGTTTATCAACCAACGGTATCGTAAACTGGTTTTCCAAGCATCATCAGAGATTTCCGCGATAGGTTTGAAATACAACAGCAGACATAAGGGTTTGCTCCAAATGTACATGCATGACATAAAACTCTCACGCTTATTATTGGATAAAAAGGGTATCAATTACTTTGTTTTACCGAGTCGACTAAGACAGAATAAGTTTTTGTTTCCATAGCCCGTGGCTTCATGGGTGTGCTAACAAGACTTTGGAGATGAATGAAGCATCCCCAGGATCAAACAGAGTGCAAGATATGATCGCCCTGCTTGATCTCTTGTTAAACCTCCTTTCAAGCAATGCCCGACATTTCACACGGACCAATGGTCCGAGCATGAATCGGTACACCATTTTGAACTATCTAATCCAAACCATTAAAATTAATAATAATAATAATAATAATAAAATATTTAACAAACATATAAACACCACCCCTAACTATTTTGAACGGTCTAATCCAAACCATTAAAAAAAATAAAGAAAAAAATATTTAACAAACATACTTCAGGGGTTCCATGTTTGTGAACAATCTTCGATGGGTATATGCTTCTGCTGTCTCTTCCTAGTGCTTCCTGCTTCCTCCTCTTCCTTCACTGGCTTTGTGGGTCTGGCATGTGAAACTCGTAGCTTACGCTTTAAGCTGAAAAGAAACCCCAGCCTATGTCTACAATGTACTCATTGGCTGTTTCTCCAACTGCACACTGTAACTCAACTTTAGTACAGAAGATTTGTAATTGGCAAATTCTTCTTACCCTAGATGCAATTCATAAGTGCTTCTCATTCTTTATCCAATGCACTAGGGTTTACATATTTAGTGATACCCCTATTAAGTGACATCTCAAAATATATATTAATGAAACCTTCCGCATTCCATATCCTTTCTCATAAACAAAAAACCTATCCACATACTCAACTTAATCCACCAGACAAACCTAACCCTATCTAGCTGAGGTCTAGATCAAGAAATCTTAGTCCGATGATGGGTGAGTCGGGTCAGGTTGACCCTGCATAAATTTACATCTATCTAACTCACCCCAATCCAGCCTAACCTTTTAATAACCCTTAATAGTCCTTTATCAAGAAATTGAAACTGTTACCCAACAAGAACAATATAGAAGGTTTCCAAATAGATGAATGCAGAAAATAACACAAGCGATGTAAAATTGCAGGCATTAACAAGACATAAGTTAGGAAGTCATACAAACAAAAACTAAACAACCAATTACAGGATAAATGAAATAGCATTACTCGAGCAAGTACCGTAGACAAGTTCTGGCAGGAAGAGATTCTTCAGCAATTCAGCTTTGATCCAACAAACAGCAGAAGATCTAATTAATGAGGTCAGATGTGCAGAGCAACGAAAGTTACAAGAGATCCAAGCATTAAGATCCTAAAATGGGTATAATTAAGAGCAACCTAATCCTTGCCGAAATCAGCATTGTAATGAGCACTTGATTCAAGCTTCTTTGCTTCATTCAATTTCCTGACAGCCTAAATCAGTCAATAGAAAGAAAAGATATCTTAGCATTTTACCACCAGATCCGACAGTGATCATGACAGAAATTAAAACAATGCAAAACCATTGACAACACTAATGTTCAAACTTCCAATTAAACTACAAGGCTCAAAAGTGATCATGACTGAAGGAATTAAAACAATGGAAAAGCATTGAGAACACTGACATTCCAATTAAACTACAAGGCTCAAACTTCAGAAGATCATAGAATGGAAACTAAACTCTCAATCCGGAGAAAAAAGACCATGTTCATGTTACGACAACATCAACCAAGATTACGAGCAGCAAGTGTATTAACAGAAATGACTGTAGCGACCAAAATAAAGCAACGAGAGACAAGAACTATGGCCCTAGTCCTCATGCTAGGATAAAAGGGTTTTTTTTAGAACCAATCAACTGTAATTTTACAGAATCCGCAGTCACAAGCAAACCAACTCCTCGAAAAAGAGCTCACATGATATCTGAATGATGCATTTTAGAAGTTAATTCTAATACAATCAAAAATAAAATGAGAAATGCTAGTATAACTAAGAGTTGTCTCATATCTGTTCCTTTATATAGGTCCTATAAGAAAAAGTCAGTGAAAGAACCATCTTTTTCTGAGACACCACTTATATTTTCTCGTAAGGTCCTAATTATTTTTATGAAAAGAAAAAAAATTACCTTCATAAAGTCTTCATGAATAACATAGTCACGTTCTGCACGAATTGCTGACATACCAGCCTCTGTGCATACATTCCGGAGATCTGCTCCATTAAAACCCTAAAAAATGGATAAACAGAAATTGAATGAATGTAAAGATAGAAACAGGAATGACAGGATTTATAGTTTGCTATTATCACAATACGCTTATCGAGTATGGAAAATACACTTGCCTCAGCAAGTTTTACAACTGCTTCATAGTCGATATCACCATGTTTCGCTATTCCAGCAGCATGAATTTTAAGAATTTCCATCCTCGACTGTTCATTTGGTAATGGAATCTCAATTTTCCTGTCCAACCGGCCAGGGCGAAGAAGAGCTGGATCAAGGACATCAGGTCGATTTGTGGCCATGATCATTTTGACCTAACACCATGAGGAAAAACATGCTTATTTGGGGATAATGATATGCATAATTCAATAGAAGAAAAGCAGTCCCAATCCCAAGAAATCATTTGTTACAAGCATTCATAAGAAAATGCTTGGATTTTTATAATGTAAGTACAACAAAGACAATTATTATATAGTAATTTGCATTTATAGAACAACTAGTATTTGGCCTTATCCCTAAGAGTTTTATATACCTTGGCGACAAACTCAGTGTCTCCATCAATGTCACATTTGTATTTCATTTAGGATTCAAGTCATAAAAATAATCTATTTGCTTGAAGGTAAGGTTGAGTGCATCACACCGAAGAATAACTTGTGCACTAATTTCAAATTAGAGATGCAAGATAATACCTTCCCAAGTTGATCAAATCCATCCAATTGATTGAGTAGTTCCATTAGAGTTCGTTGAATCTCACGATCAGCACTGGTACCCTCACTGAACCGGCGCCCACCAATGGCATCAATTTCATCCATGAAAATAATGCAAGGCTGAAAAGAATTGCACAGATTTAGAAATGTCCACAACCTGGATGCTACTCATGTAAGATGGATTCTTATACATGTAATTTTTTGGGAAATCAATCACGAAACAAATATTGTTATTAATGTCTCACCCTAGTTAGTTAACTAAATACACAAAACAGGAAAAAAAAAATAAACTGACAGAATTTAAAGAACAAAGGGTTTACTTGATGATCACGTGCATAGCCAAACATCTCCCTGATCAATCGGGCACTTTCACCTATATATTTGTCAATTATAGCACTTGACACTACCTACACATAAAGGTCAAAAGTTAAAAATTCAAAAGGAAGAAATAACAGAATATTTAAGTTTTAAAAACAACAACAACCAACCTTTAGAAAGTTTGCATCTATATTGCTAGCAATTGCTCTAGCCAGTAATGTCTTTCCAGTTCCTGGGGGACCATAGAGAAGGACTCCCTGTAGTCATAAGATAAGTTCTACAAAGGTCATCTATCTTCTTAGAAGGTAAATTCAGTTGGCAAGAATTCAAACATAATCAAATACTTTATACTAACCTTTGGAGGTTTGATTCCTACTCTAAGGAAGAGTTCAGGATTCATAAGAGGCAGTTCAATGGACTCTCTCAGTTCCCTTATCTGATCAGATAGTCCACCTACAGCAGAGTAGCTAACATTTCCAGGATCTTCATGAAGCATGTTATACACAACAGGATCAACCTGCAACCAAATGGCATATAAGAAACAAAAGTTCATTGACATCACATTTTGATATCCATGATATGAAAAATTAGTAATGCCGCAATTTCAGTGCATTGACTTTTGCTCTATAAAATCCATGACAAACAATAATTAGTGATAAACTGCAAGTTGAATAAATTTTATCTCAAATACATAAATTTCAAACATGCAACAAAATATTGAAACCAACCTCTCGTGGAAGAGCACGCATAATGGTAAGAGTAGTCATGTCAAGAACCACCCGTGTTCCAGCTGTCAGCTTCTCTTTGTCAACTTTACTGCGGCAACCAACAACATACCTCGGACCACTGCTTGCCTTGACAATAACTGGAGAAGAAACACAGCCATACCCTTAAAATAGTTCACACTAACTTCAGGCATAATCATAACCAAGAGTACCCTTGAAGCAAGAAAATCAGTATCAAAAAATCACGAGGAGCTTAGAGAAGATTAAAAGCATAACTAAGGATTGTTGAAGTTGAAAACTCACTGTTCCTGGATGCACATGATGATTTTCCAAAGCCTTATTAAATTGACTATAAAAGTTTGGAGTAAACTAAGTTTAAGTGTTATGTTGTTTGCCATTCCTAGAAGGCAATCCTTCCTCAGAGGTGACTACTTTAAAGCTTTAATTTGTTTGAATACTTAAACCATCAAATTGATTGTTCCAAGCATATGCTATGTGCCAATGCTCGACTGCTAGCATAGTTCAAGGTATCGGCTGATTCCGTCACGAAAGGCATGGTCCATATCGGTAAGGCTGATCCAAGTGCAACTGGTGTCTTGACCTTATAAATGGCACAAAACAATTAGATAAGTCGAACTCTTCTGGAGTTGGACAGTTTCAGACAACTTTAGTCTATTTGACATCCTCAAAAGAAGAAAGAGAAAAAGGAAGGAGAAGTGGTAGGAGAATAAGAGGAATGAGATAGAGGAAAGACAATATGTTCCTGCAACTGGGAAGAGATACATTAGTATTATTTGATTTCCTTTGAAACCATCCCATTTTCCATTTACCACCATTGTTGTAATATTTCTCTCATCCACTATCATATAAGATAGAAAGGCTACGGAGAGAGAAAAAAGACAATGAAGCAAAGTCCTAAATATGTTAAGAAAATAAGGATGATATCACAGAGATGGAGGTATCAAAAGATTCACAAATAATGTCAAATCTTTTTCTTTATCTGATTCCAGATTAGCTTATACCACCTGAATGGTTAACAAGAACCACTGGGGTGTACAGTGGGGTCTTCAAAATTACAATTTAATAAATTTTGAAGTCTTTTGTATGATATATATCTTATATATGAACTATTATCGATTTCCTTTATAGTTATATTTTTGGTACAAATATTTTATATTTAAGCTACATACATTTTTTTTCTAAAAAGGCAGATATATTACAAAACATAAGATATTTTTATTTTATCAAATTATATTTTGTTTCTATGGTGCTTTCCCATTTATGTATTATTTTTACATTAAATTAACTTCTCGCCACCCTTGTTCTTGTAAATCTGATCTGAACATTCCTGACCAAATCATACCTAGACAATCCTGAACACAATCTTGCAAAGAATAATTACAATCCCAAATAAACAACAAAATGGTCCAAGTTAAAGAATTAGCTTCTTCACGAGCCATATGCCCTAGACAATCGAAATTTGAATTAGTCATTCATCATAGACAAAAGGTAAATGGATTTTAATCATGTGAGAATTGGCACCACGAAACAGGGTTCAAAACAAAGAGCCAAAAGGCCAACAATATTTAATGAATTGATCAAAGGCAGGTAATAATATTAATAGAGAAATAGCATAACATAATGACACCTTTTTGAAAGTGGCAAAATGATAACAAAGTTTTCCCCAAAACCAAGTGGGATTCTTCTCAATTAATGAATTTGATCAGGCCCTATATTCATTGATGCTGGGACACAGACATAGGTTTTGGATTCAGACGAAAATCTGAGTTCTTAAGTATTCAAGTTGACAAGCCAAAGAAGAATGTTAAGGGGATATATTTATCAAAACCATAGACATATATAAAACTTCAAATTAGAACATAGAAGTGAGATATGAAACAAATGCAAAATATTTCAAAACGAGCATCCAAAAGTTAATTTACAAACTCTAGACCTACATCATTTCTGAATATTAATATGCATTTCATGTTAAGATTAATTTTACAAGCACATTTTGACATATCTTCTCTTGTTTCAGTTTGTTTCAAATTGAGCATTCCTTTTTTTACCAGTTTATATCCTATCAATTCATCTACCTGGATTGTGCTTGGATGTAGCGATTGGAACTATGTGTGCCACCTACAAGGCGACTGTTGTTTTACATCACAATATAGGTTGGTAACCTAGGGAAGCTTTAAAGAAGTAGGAATTTTTTTCCCCTTCCAATAAGTAGGTCACCCATCCCTCACTTTCCTATCATCAGGAACTATGTGACAATATAGGTGAGAGAGTGTCATATGTGGCGTGTCACAAGATGGAAACACAGAGAAGTCAACGGCATGTGACCCGCTTCCTCTTCTCCTTCTCTCCTCGTACTCTTCTTCATTACAGGACCAAAACACATGTTCAAGCATGTCCAAACACTTTCCCTTGATTATCCAAGTGCTTCAACTGCTATTGAGCATTATCCACTTAGGCCACAGTTATAGGCTATATAAGTATCAAATAAATTTAGAAAATGCAAGAAATAAGATAGAGGGCTTCAAGGAAAAGCTGCAAACAAATTTGTCATCATGAGTTTGAATAAAGTTAATACTTACATCGCTCATTATCGAGTGGCCTAAGAACCTCTCCAATAATTTGCCCTACACTCTGGAGCGACTTCAGATCATCTTCAGTTTTAGTGAACTCCTTCTTTGAGGCCCTCAAATTCTCGCGTACTGCATTTTGTTTCAATCACAACCATTCGCATAAAGGCAAAATGATTTTGCATATTTACCATATGGTAACAAATATAAAGTTATAACAAGCAAACAAAATATCACTTACCAAAATGTCAGTGTCAATTAGCATATAAGCTAATCATACAAACATAAAGGACAGGATTTTCAATGCAAAACAGAAAATAGCAGAAAATAGAAATAACATATAGCACCAAGTAGCCCTACCATAGACTTATTCTTGACTCTACAAGCACAAGAAAAATAAGAAAGAAAGAGAAGTCATTTCTAATTGCATTGGACTTTTGAGTCATTTCAATGCCCTCCAATCATCAGAAAATACTGACTGAATAAGCATGGTACACATGCTTTCAGTTTGAGTGAGCAGTCGAGCAGAAAAATGTCAAACTTATTTACATAGGAAACTCTGACACAACCAGCTGGCAGCTCATTGGCATGTGTGATGAACTCACAAAAAAATATAGGTTAAGGGCATGTTTACCTATAAGACACTCTCCTGTTTTCAAGAAAATTTATCTAGTGTGGACTAGCAGAAAAGAGACTGGTGGTTTAGAACAGGTTGCTTTTCTTGTTTACTAATTTTGTATTGGCTCACCAAGATGCGTAAGGGGATCTCACCTAGATTTGAATTTTGAATTAAGGCTTCCCAGCCAGCCTGAGTAAAGATGCATTCCTACATAATGTGATTAACAACTTCTAAGCTACCTTCTTAAAGAATGCATAATAAGTCTGTTTGCACCCCTTTCATAGCAACAAATCATTGGTAACAATTCAACATTTCAAAGTCATCCACAAGAAGCCATGGATCATCAGTAGTGCAAAGCCATTCAAAGCAGACCCCTGATCCACAAAAGGTTTGTGATATAATTTGGTGAAAAAGTAAATTTTGACTCCAGCATTCAGCTTCAATGACACAATGATTGCAACTGTAACCTCTTATTCTTATGTACAGGGCAAACTGTGCCACCATCTCAAAGAGAGAGAGTTGGATAAAAAAACAGATTTCAATCAAAATACCCACATGTTTATCCACCAATCTTTCCAGACTCTGTCATCAAGGCCCACCTTGTATCAGATGCTTACTATTAATGATACATTCCATGGCATGCACAATGTCCCTCTAAATGAATGACCAAGAAGAGTTAAGAGAACTTTTGAACAGTGCTAAAAAAGGATCTGGTTCAACTAATCAGTAATTTCCAAGGCTCCTTGTTCATTATAATCAATAACTACTATTTGTCTGACATTATAAGGTCATGACATCAGATATCTACCTTGAGATTGCGAGATTATGCCATTAGAAATCTACCTTCGCCTAAAATCCAGCAAAAACATCCAGTCCAGCCCCTAAAAAACCTTGTCAACTTAGGTGGTGGATCAACCCATTTGGTCAGAGCAAGCAAGACATATGAAAGATTGGTAAAGAAGAAAATACACTATTTAGAAATCCTACGAGGTCTTCAAACAGTAATATCCATGCTCTCCAAAGTAGCAAGCCAAGAAAACCAAGTTTCTTCACACTAATTTTTTTGTATTCATGACTCTACAGGTCCTTTTTATTTTATCACATCTTGGTCCGTGTCTGATACCAATTGATTGCCTAAAGCTCCTGCCAATTTAAGTTGCAATAATCCTTCCCACATAATCAATCATCAAATCAACAGCTTTTTCTTTGCACAAAAAACAACTAGAACATTCAATCACAAAAAACAACTAGAACGGAGTATATATATATATATATATATATATATATATATATATATATATATATATATATATACTCCGTTGAACACACTACCTAATAACCAGCCAAAATCTAAGATCAGCAGAATCATTACCCACTACAAGCCGTTCATCTTCCTACAACAATAACTAGCAAAATCCTCTTGTCTCCAGTTCAGCCGAACAACAAGATAAAAATTCCGCCTTTCAAGGTTTATACTGCCAGTCAAAAAGATCCGTGTGTTCAGAAAAGAATAGGGAGCGAAAAGAAGAACCGAAAGGAATGAATTATAACCCTAACCCGAAAGAAAATAATCCAGAACAACCTCATTCATCACTCGGAACTAAACCCAAAATCACCTACTGAAAAGAAAAGCAACATGAAATCTAAAGGAGGATCAAGGTAGATCGAGACACGTACGTGTCCTGAGCCTGGAATCGAGCTCCTTGTGCTGGAGGAGCTTCTTGCGGTACTCTGCCACCGCGTTTCGCCGCCGAACGGCGTCCTCTCCGCCGTCGCCCATATCTTTCCTCCCCTTGATGGATCAATGCCGGCTACGGCGCCGCTCTCTCTCTCTCTCTCTCTCTCTCTCTCGGGGGTCGGTCGATTGTGGAGAAGGAGATCGACTAAGTGAGAGATGGATACCTATTTATTATTAAACGGATCGATCTGCACTCTTCTATCCACGGACCCGATAATATGATCCGACTCCGATAAGGATTTCCACGTTTTCAATACATACTGAATCACCCCTGAAATTTCTTTTCAGAAAAAAAAAATTCAATTATAGAATAAAAATATATTAAAAAAATTCTGAATGGATCAAATCAGGCAATGAAATTTTAATCCATGGTTCATCACAATCGAGTTCAAAGATCTAATTGATTCCATTCTCCTGATATTATCGAATATATATATATATATATATATATATATATAACTGAAAAATCGATTTTGCTTTTTAAATACTAATGCATTTAAATACCAAGGACAAAATATTAAGAATGCCTTTTATTTTTTCCAAGAAGAATATCGATGCATGCGAAGAGTTTTGAAAACATTATTACATTAAAGAAGGGAAAGCAAAAAAATTTAAGGTATTTTTAAAAATAATATAAATTCTTTATTTTTCGCAGAAGAATATTAAGGCGTCTAAAAATTATGGGCAGGCTTAAACTCTTCCCTTCTCACATATACCAATACAAACATCAAAAATATCATATATTTAGAACAGTAAATAGGACGGAAAAAATTGAGATTAAGAAAATAAATAAATACCACTTGAAACAAATATAAGTTTGGAAGGTGTTTTTCAATGCCAAAGTAGATTTTGTGATGCATAAATTGTAATAACCGTGTTTTTATCCCTTATTTCCAAAATCAAAATGTTTCTAATTAGTATTTTTTTATTTTATTAGCATAATTTCTTTCTTAACAAGATGAAATTAATGTACGTTTATTTCTTGTTTAGAATGAGTAATTCGAAATAAAATAATTATTTAATTTAATATTAATTATGAAAATTAGAATTATGATTTGTTCCGTAAACGGTATTCCCTCCTCTACTAATTAAATCGGGCGAACTATTTTTCCGTCACTCCGAAGAAGAACGGTGAGGAAAACAATTTGTTTTCCTTTTACTTCCTTGATTTAAAAGTATTCAACTTTATTTTCGATTGAAATTTTTTTATGAATTTTTGAATTTTCTAATTGTAATTTTTGAAATTTGATATGCATGAAAAGTATTCGATTTATGATTTAGCTGATAAATTTCGATGAATTTTGGAATTAATTAATGTATTTTTTTTGTAAATTGATATGCATGAAAATTATCCAATTTATGTTTTGATAGATAATTTTCTATGAATTTTGAAATTATTAGGACAAATTTTTTGAAAATTATTCAATTTATTTTAAATATATTATTTTTCTTAATTTCGGAATTAAATTTAAAATTTTAAGATGCATGTGAATTTTTAATCATACTTGACAAACTTATTTTTTTTATTTATAAAGTATTTTAGATGGATTTAATTACCGAATCCATGAATATTAATCATGATTAGAAAAGTGCACATCTTTTTATTGATAAGTTGTTTCCATTAATTTAAAGCTTGCCGAATAAAAATTTATTTGTATATGTTCATGTATGATAAATTAAATTTATTTGATTTATTATGCCATATATTAGAGAATAATTAGATAAACTCTTCATTTATTACTATATTTAAAAAAAAATCAAAAATAGATTGGTTTGGGTTCAAGTCTGGGCTTCGATCGAAGTTCGTAGCTCAGTTCAACCTGTGCCGACAGCATAGGCAGCCCAACACCCACCCCATTTTTCTCTTAGGGGTAAATGGACGGTGAAGACGGACACGATGTTCCACGTAAATTATCAAGGTTTTCATCAGCTAAAACAACCAACACCCAACCTTCAACCCTATATGGATCAAATTAAATCTAACTGATTTGTTTATGGTGAATCTTGAATTGGCTCTCACTAGTTCAAACTAATTTTAGTCGATCATTTGATGATTCTAGATCGGTTCGAACAGCTATGATGCAATTATCTTGGGGATCGAACTCGATTTAGGATAATTTAAGCTAAAAATCATATCAATTCAAGTCAATAGTAGATTTCAACCTTCGATTAAAGGTGTTTTAGCTTAGCTTCAACCAATTGGAGTCATATAGTTCGATGTTTTTTCTTATATTTCATCTCACTCATTAAATTTTATATATTTGTCCCTGAACATATATAAGGATTCCTTTCTCCTTTCTTTAATTTTTTTTTTCTCCTCGCTTTTTATTTCCAATTTAAGATTTGTTCACTTCATCTCTTTTTTATCAGACCTTCTTAAACATGTAAATTCATCCATCATCCTCCCGTGCCATATGTTGATAAACAACTAATAGCATTCTTTCCTACGTTGGATATCCTAATTCGAGCATATTATACTCACTTCAATATTATCGTATGGACTCGCAATATGATTTCTATCACTTCTCCGACATCATACAGTCAACGACTGAAGTGTCTGTCCGTGAAGACCATGAGATCCGACCCTTTCCTCCATAAACTGGAGCTGGACGAAAGCCTGGAGCCTGCCATCGACGACCCCGCCGACGAACCGCTATATGTTCTGGAGGACTCCTTGGCAGAGATCGACTGCTATGTCAACCCTGTGGATGAGGCCCTACTTCAAGAGCTAGTGTCCACCGACGAAGCTGCAGGTGGGGCACGCCGACTGATAGACGAGATAGCAGTGTTGCTGCCCGTGCCGAAGAGACGAAGAGGACAGACGCAGCGTCCGAGGCGGCAACCGGAAAGCCTACTGCTTCTTGTCCCTTTTACTCGTGGTTCTTGTCCCTGCAGCTTGAGGTACAAGACACGAAGCTCGGTGACGACGACGCCCCCGCCGTCGAGAAGTAATGTGGGGAAGACGACGAGAAGAACCACAAGGAAAAGAAAACGGAGAGGATGATGTCTAGAGTGGTTCATGGAGTCACACTGTGTACATACATACGCACGCATTGCCTGCTGTGGCCACCGTCTCCGTCTCCTTGAATAGAGAAATAGGTGAATGCGTTTGAGATCGTAGTCAATTGCATGTTGTTCTTTCATCGTTTACTAAACTGTACTATTATTATTATTATGTTGAGCATAGGAAATAGTTAGATTTACGAGATGTGTATTGCTTGAACTGTCTCGTACCATATCAATAGGTTTTCAATGCCTTCTAAAGCAATCTATTTGATTCATTCTAGTATAGCTTTGCATTCAGCTACCAACTTTGAGGGTTCCTTCTTCTTTATCCTCAAAGATGAAGCCTAGAACATTAAGTAGGGGACGTGAAAGAAGCATAGCATTGGAGCACATAAGTAAAAACCCAAGGAACAATAGCAAGATCATTAAGAATTGATTGTTCCTCATTGTTGTTGGGAAAAAACTTATTAAAGCGGAATATTTTTTTTCCTCTTTATGTATCAAAATGGGTTCATCATCAAAATATCAACTTGATATCCAAATAAAAATATCAACCACACGGTAAGACCAAATCTTTTAACGTGAAAAACCCAATGTGAGAAAAATCACGGGACCGTAGTCTACCTCAAACTTCCACTATCAATAGTAATAATAACAGGTTTATAATAGGTCTTCTATAGAATAACTAGAGGATCACAATAACATCAAGATCATAAATCTTGGCTCGAGAATAACATATCTTCATCAGATGGATTTCCTCGTAAGAGAATTCTAGGTCTCACAAAGTGGGTATAGCAAGAAAGTACCTCAGAAAGAATAAAATGTAGATCAACACCGTTAGGATTGTAGAGTTTGCTGCAATGATTCTCCACATAAAATTTGGACCAAAACTGATAACGTTTGGCCACCGATCGTCAAGCAGAAATCTTAAAAACTTTATTTTCTCTCTTTATTTCTCTCTAGCACGTCGATGCACACGTACGTTGCACGCTCTAATTTTGCTACCCTCAACACCTTTTGCCCTTTCATTCAATTAGTGATTTGGGCTCAATAGGCCCAATTGTCTAAGCCCACATATGGGCTGGACCCAACAATTCTCCCCCTCCAACTCATATGGTGGGCTGTATCAAACTCGCTCTTTGCCTACATGCTTCAAGCTTCTCCTTAGGCAAAGACTTTGTCAACATATCTGATCCATTCTCATTAGTATGCACTTTTTTCAACTGTAATTCTTTCATCTCAAGCACATCACGAATCCAATGATATCTCACATCAATATGCTTGGATCTAGAGTGGTATGTTGAATTCTTGGAGAGGTAAATGACACTCTGACTGTCACAGTAAACTGTATATTCTTCCTGTTTCAATCCCAATTCATGTAGAAACTTTTTTATCCATAAAGGTTCCTTGCAGGCTTTAGTAATTACTATGTATTCTGCTTCTGTGGTTGATAGAGCGACACACTTCTGTAACTTAGACTGGCAAGAGACTGCTCCCCCTGTAAATGTCATCAAGAACCCCGAAGTAGACTTCCTGGAATCAGTATCACCTGCCATGTCTGCATTTGTATACCCTTCTAACACAGGTTCATCATTACCAAAACATAAACATAATTTGGAAGTACCTCTTAGATATTTTAATATCCATTTCATTGCTGCCCAATGTTCCTTTCCAGGATTAGAGAGAAATTGACTGACAACTCCAACTGCATGAGCTATATTTGACCTAGTACAAACCATAGCATACATCAAACTGCCTATTGCAGATGAGTAGGCACTCTGGACATTCCTTCTTTTTCTTTCTCACTTATAGGATATTGTTTCGAATTAAGCTTGAAATGACCTGCAAGTGGAGAACAAACTACTTTGGCTTTACTCATGTTGAATCTTTCAAGAACCTTTTCAATATAAGTCTCCTGAGATAGCCAAATCTTTCTTTTCTTCCTATCATGAAGAATCTCCATGCCAAGTATTTGTTTCACCGATCCCAAGTCTTTCATGGCAAAGACTTAGCTCTTTTTTAAGCTTTTCAATTTTACTAGCATCATGACCAACAATCAACATATCATCCACATATAGTAGTAAAATAATAAAATCATCATCTGAAAATTTTTTCATAAA